TGCTGCGGGGAGAGAATATTATCTCCACTGAACGCACGACCCTTTTCTACACTCCGGAGTACTTTGCCCAATTTTTCAAGTACTTGAATAATTTCTAAAGGCTTTTTCTTGGCCTCTAGACCTCCCCTGAATTTTTTGAAGGCTTGTAAACCACGAGAAGCAATATTCTTCGTTAGAGCATCTTTATAGGATACTTTTAACGAATTCTTACTTTCATGGGTGTCCGGCTGGAGTTTCCCGGTCGGTGCAGAGTCTTTTTTCGCGGAGCCTCCATTCGCCTCGTTGATTTCCCCTGATGCCGGCTAGTTGTGACGTTTTAAATTCGCGCCATCATTTTCTCCTTTTTTCACCCGCTCCGAAGTCGCCACGTCGTCGCCTTTTCCTGCTGTCGGATCTTTACACGATCGCCAGGTCGATCCGCGGCTAGTGGCGATTCTTGTTTTTTTACTTTGGGGGTGCTCCACTGTTTTCGTCCCGGAGTGCCGCACGTGCTTTTTTCATTTTGTAGCACGACAAAAACGGATGACCTGCTGCGCCGCAAAATTCGCATTTTGTCGGCTACTGCTTCGCGTCGTTGTCAGAATATGTTGTTTGGGTAGCCTGCAGTGGGGCTCTCAATAGTGAGTATAGCCCCTTAGGGTTTGCTATTTGTATCGTGCTGCTTGCTAGTTCACTTATTCCCTTCTCAATTCCATTCCTGCACACATCCTAGCTCGTACTTGGCGCCTCATTGCTTTAGTCCTACTATGGCCTAGGCTACTAAGCCTAGGCCGTGCTCCTACATTTGATATGGTCTCAGAGGGCGGCATGTCTGCCGCCTTCCTGTGTATGGGCCCAGCACCTACTTCCGCTGCCCTACCGTTCGCCGCGCGCCCCGTGGTGCGCGGCGGCGAAACCCTTATTTCTGCCCGCCGCGCGCTCGGGGCGCCTAGCGGGTTTCCCTTCAGTGGCGCCCGTCGTGGTGCCCTTGGGGGGGCCTCCAAGGTCCCCTCCTGTCGAAGCGCCCGTCGAGGCGCTCTCGGGGACCCGCGCGGCCTCCCCTCCCGTCGCCCGTCGAGGCGGCCTCGGGGACCCGCGCGGCCTCTTCTCCCGTCGCGCGTCGTGGCGACCACGGGGGCCGTGCGCGGCGCCCTCCCCGTCGCTCGTCGAGGCGACTTCGGGGGCCGTGCGCGACACCCTCCCCGTCGCCCGTCGAGGCGACTTCGGGGACCATGCACGGCCCTCTCCGTCGCCCATCGTGGCGACTTCGGGGGGCCCGCGCGGTGCCCTCTCCGTCGCCCGTCACGGCGACTTCGGGGGGCCTTCGCAGCGCCCTCCCCGTCGCCCGTCGAGGCGGCTCTGGAGGCCCATCGCGGCGCCCTCTCTGGTGCTTGTCGTGGCGCCTCGGGGGGGGGGGGGGGGGGGGCGCACGGCTCCTTGCTCGTCGCCCCTCGGGGCGCCCCTCCCTCCTCCTAGCTCCTCCTACCTCCTCCTACCTCTCATCTGCAGCGGCCGCCCTTGGAGCAGCCCGCACCTGCAGCAGCAGCCCCTGGAGCAGCCTGTGCCTGCAACAGCCGCCCCAGGACTTGCGCGAGCCACCCCTACGGAAGCCCGTCCCGTCCCCCCCCCCCCTCCCCCCCCCCCCCCCCCGTGGTGCCCATTGCTCCCATTCCGCCTTGCGTTCCGCGGTGGTGGGGGTGTGGGGTGGCAAGCATGGGGGTGAGAGGAGTGGGTTCTCCCCTCCTCCTTTTTCATCTCCCATTGCTGCAGCTGCCGTTGAGGGGGGTGGAGGTGTGGGAGCTGTGGGGAGTGGAGCTATGGGGGTGATGTGGGGAGTGGAGCTATGGGGGTGATGTGGGAGTGGAGCTAGGGGTGTGTGTAGGGGGGTGTGGGACTGCTTGTGGAGGCTGAGAGGAGGCTGCCGTCTAGTCGTCCGCAGCACCTGTAGTCCGGGGCGTTGTCCTGGTAGCCCAGAGAGCCTGCTGCGCCTGTCGCCCGTGGGTCCGTTGCTCCTGTAGCTCGTCGTAGCCCGTGAGCCAGTTACTCCGGTAGTCCGAGGCGCTGTCCCGGTAGCCACTGTGCCAACCGCTCCTGTTGCCCGTGTGTCTACATCTTCAGTCGCCATCTCCCATCTTCTCTCCTCTCACAGTCCCTCCTCCTCCTCACTTGCCCGCTGTGACTACCACTAGCTTTGCTCATAGTTGTGAACTTTAAACTGTTGCTTCTTGTAATTGTGCTCAGAATATGTGGTGACATTGTAATCCACCCTGAGCTTGTTCTGCTTTGCTTACTGTGCTGATTACACCCCACTTTGGCTATGGGGGTGTGTCAGAATATGTTGTTTGGGTAGCCTGCAGTGGGGCACTCAATAGTGAGTACAGCCCCTTAGGGATTGTTTTTTGTATCCTGCTGCTTGCAAGTTCAATTATTCCCTTCTCAATTCCATTCCTGCATACAATCTAGCTCGTACTTGGCGCCTCATTGCTCTAGTCCTACTGTGGCCTAGGCTACTAAGCCTAGGCCATGCTCCTACTATATCTGACAGTCGTATTTGTCGATATCCATCGGTTCGGCAAACGTGAGGGGTGCCGATCGCTCCGTGCCGAATGTACGGTTTGGCGTGAAACGTCATGTTTCGAGTTGACCTCGAGTCAGCGCGTCGTATCGCTCCGCAGCACGCACGATGTCTCTGAAGGTGTTATAATTTGCCGCAATCACCTGCCGCTGAATCTCCATTTTTAACCCTTCGTTGTACGCCTGGATTTTTTCGCCTTCGGTCAGGTCGATGATGCGGTTGAACAGTAACTCCATCTGCTGCGTGTACTGTGTGAACACTACTGTATTGCTTGTGTCAGTGTATCTGCTACCGCGCCATGTAGGTTGTATTAATTGGTTCCAAACGCTCGATTAAATCTGCCCGAAACTGCTGCCACGTTTTCTCCCCGCGGGCTACGTCGGTGTAGTAAATCCATTCGAGAGCCGGTCCACGTAACAGTGTCGCTGCGAGCCGAATCCTTGCTGCGTCGTGTTGCGGGGTCGAACAGCCAATGGCCTCAAAGTAAATTTCGAGGGTGGCCACGAATCGCCGGACGTCGCATCCCTTCACGCTTGGATCGAACGCCTCCGGGAGCCTCGGTCGTGGTGCTTCGAGGTTCGGCGACAGTGGTGTCATTGGTCCGTGAAATGTCGGTGTCGCCACTGCTGCTGGAGTTGTCGGTGCTGCAGTCGCTGCGGTCGCTGCTGCTGCGGTGGCGAACCTTGGTTGGCTTGTCAGAAAAGCCTCAAGTCGACGAAGGGTCGCCTGCGTCTGCTCCATGTCGGTGCGGAGGCTCGCGATGTCGCTCGTAGTCGCATAGTTGTCGCCTTGGCCCTCCATGCCTGACATCAACGCGTCCGAAAAACCGAATCAAGGGGTAGCGAGAAACACGGAACCGGTTTTACATACCCGAAATCGATGTTAGACGGCGTCGCCCCCGAGGTTTTCGAAGACTGGTTTTTAGCGGTCGAAAGAACTTCGCGTGTTAATGGGCTCTGATTACCAAGTCTGAGGATCTAGGATCGAGCTCAGAAAAGAGAATGAGAATTGAGTCGAATTGAATGATCACCTGGGTACAAGACGAGGCTATATTTAGGCTCGACACAAGGCCCCGTAACCAGGTGTTACGCGAAGGTTCCGCGGGCCGCGTAGCGTCCCGAACGGATCCTTACCGAATTTGGTAGAAGGCAATTCGGTGGCAACCGAAAAGGCCAGAATTCAGTGCACGCAACCTAGCTCGGTGCTATAACTATAATAAAATATAGGAAAGCACCTAGCCTAGGGAATCAAGCAATTCATGCATGCATATGATTATCCTATGCTAGAAATAGCATGATAGAGTTAAGGCAAGCAAGCATAGCTGGCATAAGCCGTCGTATTCTCACATCAACGACTGATTCAACTTGGAGATGGTAGCTAAGCCTAAGGCACAACTCCCTACCGAGCGGATTTGCGTTAAGTAATGAGTTCGTCGTAAGCTCTCAAAGTGACGGATCTTGAACAACAAGCAGCCTCACCAGGACCTGGAGGAGCACACGCACTAGCACTTAGAGCTGTAGCCTCACTGGTCCCAATAATCGGGTCGGGCGGTACACTCAGGTAATAGTCACCCTCAACACTAATAGTCAATGCATACATAGCAGCAAGGATAGCATCATAGTCAAGAGCAAAGATATCAATTCCCTTCTTAAGCAGATCAGCCCAGCGGGGCAGCTCAGAGGCGTCGGGAAATTGCTCGCACCAGGCGTCGTCGAGGCGAAAGAAACAGGTGGTATGCCATTTAGGGAGTCAACAACCCTAAACACCATGCGGCAAGGTGTTTAGGGTTGATCCCATTCATCAAGGTGTTAATTTTTATGCGCATTTTTTGGAGGAATCAACCCTAAACACGGGAACCCTCCTGGTGTTTAGGGTTGATGCCTTCCTTCTAGGTTTTATTTTATTGGGACAAAATATTGAGTGGGATCATTCCTAATCACCTCGCCACATTGTGTTTAGGGTTGATACTTCCCCAATCTGTTTTTGTGAAAATGTTTCGACCAATCACGTTTCGACTCTCTTACTAGCGTACCGTCATCGCCTGGATATAAGACATATATATCTTATCTCGTACTCAGACAAAAGTGCTTGACTTATCTTGTAAACGGGATGGTTTAGGGTGTCTTATAGGTCTTATAAATGGAAAAAAAAATAAGTTCAATATAACACTTGCAAAGTGTGTAGAAACCACACAAGGACTAGATTCATTGAAACAGGCCAGCGTCGTTTTCCTGCCAGCAACGCAGGGATGCTTCCGGAACGCTGCTGGCAGCACGTTGGCGGCGTGAGGGATGTCCTCTACGAGGAGATGCCTCGTAGAGGAGCGGCTCGGCACCTGTGGATGGGGCACTCTTGCTGGGGGGGGGGTAGTCGGGCTCTGACTTCATTTCGTGTTCAAGGAGGTTGAATACTCGTCTCAACCTTGCTCTCGGCAGGCTCTCTAACCATGCGCAAAAAAGTACTAGTAGGCAAGTCCTCACCTCATCCTCACGTGCAGGTGAATAACTACGGGCGAATTAATTCGCCCGGCGATGACATCCGTGTAGCCATGGCGAAGAACGCGAGCAAGGCGGGAAGTCCTACCGCCGCCTCTGGTGCGAGCTGTGACGAGGACGATGCAGACGAAGCGAACGCCGACGACGCCGAGCTAGATTGGCCGGAGAACGGCCACAACGACAGCGCTTCAGGCGACGAATTAGGTCCTTCTGACATCGAGGAGGACGACTGGTGGAATCGGCCGGACGGGAGCGACGACGAAAAGGAAGAGTGGAGGGCTGGTGATTCCGACAACGACGGAGGTGAAAATGCGCATGGTGACAACGCAGAGGCAGCGGCGGATGCACAGGAAGCGGCGGTGGATGCGAATGAGAGGGCTGACGACGAGGGGGGGGCAGAAATTGAGACTGTTGCGCCTGTAGATGCGGCCGCAATTGCGGATGCGGATGCTGTGGCGGAGTCTGACAAGGTTGTTGCGGATGGCGTCTTATTTGACGAGGAAGGCAGCGACGACGACCCATGGAGCCTTGGAAACAACGACGACGTTCCACTACTGAAGCGGAGGCTACGCCATCGCCTACAGTCCAAGTCGAAGCGGGCCCACGTGATGCTCTCTGACGACGACTGTCCGAGGGAGGAGTGTCGCCCGATACTCACCGCTGCGGAGAAGGGAAAGCCAAGGTTGCGGAAGCCCCTGCTAAGGCCCCTACTAAGGCCCCTGCACGTCGCCGCACAAGCAACAAGAAGCGGACATCCGACGGAGACCCAGGATCCAACAAGGGTGCGGCTAAGAAGAAGGCGAAGAAGGCGCCGAATCCTGACGACATCGTCGTGAACGAGACGCTGGGCAGCGACGATGAGTAGGCGGCGGCGGCGGGCCCAATTCCCATGTTCCCTGAGAAGGTCACGCCGAAGGACCCCACCCTCCATAATCCCAACACCCGCCCACCTTCCCCTCGCAGCAAAGACACTACAAAGAAGCGCCGCAGTTGGACCGTGCGTGAGAAGCTTAAGTGGGCGCGCCGCTATCAGGAGATCGGCTCCTTGAAGAAGACGAGCGTGGAGTCAACCGCGTCCATCGCCTGCATCCGACGCTGGTGTGCGAAGGCGGAAGCGGGCGTCTACAAGGGCGCGGCTAACTGCCGTAAGCGGATGCACAGGGGGGGGGGGGGGGGCGCCACTCACACTACGCCGACATGGAGGCAGCATTGTACTGCTACATCTGCCTTCAGCGCGCTAACGGGGTGGCCATCTCGGTGAAGGACACCCAGAAGTGGAGCCGCGAGTGGATGAAGAAGCATTACCCTGGCAAGAACTGGAACGCGAGCTCTCACTGGAGCCAGCGTTTCGGTGACCGCTGGAACCTGGTGATGCGGGTGAAGACCAAGGTCGGCCAACGTCTGTCGGCAGGTGCGTGTTGATGGATTTCGTGTCCCGCTATTGAATGCATGTACCTCACCCAGTGTCCAACCATCCCGTGCTTCCGTTGGGCTTGTCCCGTTTGCAGAGTGCGCGAAGGACTCCGAGTCCTTCTGGAAGTTCGTGCGCATCAACAGGGCCCGGCACAACATCCACCTGGCCCGCATCATCAACGCGGACCAGACTCCACTATTCGTAGAGATGCCAGCCGAACGGACGATCGAGCACCGTGGCACGCGCTCGGTCTCAATCCGCACTACAGGCTACCAGAAGACGCGCTTGACGGTGATGCTCGCGTGCATTGCATCTGGGGAGAAGCTGCGGCCGTGGGTGTGGTTCAAGATGAAGAACGTCCCCAACTGTGTGATTCCGGAAGGTAAGCGTAATGAATTCAACGCGGCGACTGCCTGATGAACGTGCCCCACTGTGCTGATGCCCGTCTGTCCCTCGTGTGTCTGGCAGGAATCGTGGTCCAAGCACAGGACAACGGGTGGATGGACAAGAGCGCTGTGCAGACCTAGCTATCCAAGGAGGTGTTGCCCCATCTGAACCCCCAGCGCGGCCAGAACGCAAGGCGGGCGGTGCTGGTGTTGGACTCCTACCGCGGTCACATCACCCAGACCATGCTTCAGTCGTACCGCACGCACAGCATCACCCCTGCACTCATCCCCGCGGGTTGTACGAGCCAGATTCAACCCCTGGACGTCTCCATCAATCGGTGCTTCAAGGCTGCTGTGCGAGCGCGCTACGCCAGGTGGTTCATGCGTGAAGGGATTCACCTGAAGACAAAGAAGGGTGAGTTGGTCCTTCATTGACGGTTTTATGCCTGTTCTAATTCCTGTCCTTGTCTTAAACATGCTCCTTCATATCCGTGTCTCTAACATCTCGCTGCCCCGCCCTCTGTCCCACCCGCACGGAACCTGCAAAAGCCTCCGCACCCCGTGGTGCTGCAGTGGATCGCGGAGGCTTGGGATCAAGTCCCCAAGCAGATCATCATCGACGCGTTCCGCCACTGTGGGATCTCAAGCAAGCTGGACAGAACGGAGAACCACCTGGTGATGTCTCACCTGCGCGCCAGGAGCACCACTGATGTCTCCGCGGACATGTCCCTTGGGGGGACCATAGGCGACAACACGCGCCTGCTCGGTCGAGCTCCATAGGAGGAGGAGGAGGAGGAGGAGGAGGAGGAGGAGGAGGAGGAGGAGGAGGAGGAGGAGGAGGAGGAGGAGGAGGAGGAGGAGGAGGAGGAGGATGAGGAGGAGGAGGAGGAGGCGATGCGTGCGGAGGGCGTGCGGGAGGTGGCCGTGGCAACCGGCCTGGAGGTGCTGTACCAGGAGACCCCCAACTACCGCGGAGCGGCGGCCGAGGCTGACGGCATGATTGAGCCTAGGGAGACGGCTAGGCATGTCTGGCGAGTGCTGGACCTGGGTGTAGAGCCTGTTGTTAGTGCAGGTGAGGAGGCGGTGACTGAGGGGGGCTAGGTAGAAGTAGAGATTTATGACTGTACGCATGTACCCCCGTAAAGTAAGGAAATTTTGTTTAGAAGACACCCCCTTTTTAAAAGAAAATCCCTAAACCCTCGTTCTGATTATTAGACATATATGTCTTCTCTCGTACACACAAATAGGTGTCGTATAAAATGGCTAGCCTGTTTATAAGAGACACCCGTATAGTAGACAACCCCTGTCTACTACTCAACACTGTCTTATATCCGGGCGATGACGGTAGGTAATAACGGAACGCTCTCAGGTTGAAAATGCACGTAACTGTTCCCCAGCAGCAATAAGAGAACCTTCAGAGCATATTGTGTTCGGTAGTACTTATCGATCAACTAAATACAGTTGGGCTGAGAAAAGCCCTTGGGATCTTTGCAAGGGTGAACTCTTGGTAGGAATGATGTAATAGCGGAAGTGTTTAGTGAAGAATTGTGAACCACCTTGCGCTAGTATATGACGGCAAAGTCGATTGATTGAAGCAAAAAGATGCAGAATTATATATGAGTACAAGGAATGTGAAGAGATACGATTATAACTACTTTATTGTTGTTGTTGCCGTTCGATACAGTGACGACTCGAGCAACTGCTATGTAGCGAGTCAGTTGTGTCTCCTTGCTGTCGCGCTATACTTGTCAGGTCAAAGGTCGATGACCTTTGACTTTCGCGTAACCTCAAAGGTCAGTTACTTCAACCTCCGAGGGTTGACTCGCTGGTGCCTCGATATGCTTTGCTTCGCTTGTGCCTTGGTGTTTCGACACGACACAGGCGCTTAAGCTCGATTGTTTCCAACAATCCCTTTCGAATCTGGAGTGTCATTGTTGGTGATGTGGCTCTGTCCAGTCAGCAGCATGTAGTACTCAAACTTTTGTTTTCCTAGCTCCTTGGTCAAGTAATGAGCTGCCATCTCGGATGTGGGGCAGTATGATAGCTCGAGTCTCCCCTTCTTGATCTCGTCCTTCACTAAGAAATATCGCAAGGCGATGTGTTTCATCCTGTTCGCAAAGCCATTCTTGTTGGCGATGCGAATTGGTGACTGGTTGTTACAGAAAAGGGTGAAGTTGGGTAACTGAGCTAGCTTCGCTTCTTCCAGGAGTTCGCGAAGGTAGAGTCCTTCCTTCGTGGCTGAGCAGAGTGCTATATATTCTACTTCAGCTAAGGAGAGCGCGATTAATTCCTGTTTGCTAGACTGCTAGGAGATAGGTCCGATGGGTTCGAGCCGATAGATGTAGCCGGTGCGCGAGCGTCTGTTGTCGGAGTCGCCCGCGTGATCGGCGTCGAATAGCCGATTAGCTTAGGCATTGTAGTTGCGTTCTTGTGGTAAGTCAGACCGATCGTCGAGGTGCTGACGAGGTAGTGAAGAACGCGGTCAAGCTCCGCCAGGTGTTCTGCTTCAGGCTTCTTGAAGTAGGTGGTGAGCTGGCTTGCAGAATATGATAGGTCCGGGCGGCAGGTGACAGCTGCAAAGAGGAGGCATCCTGGCTTCCTCTGGTAGTCGGGTGTGCCAGAAGACTTGAGTAGAGTAGAGCCTCCCTTGATGTTTCCTGTCGTGTAGCGGTACGGCGTGGAGATGACGGTAGTTGTGAGTGCGAAGCGCTTGGCGATGGTATCGGCGTACTTCGCGGCGCTGACATAGATCGCGTCTTCCTCTTCCTGGATGTTGAGCCCGAGGTACTGAGTGATGGTAGATGAGACCGTGAGAGTGAGGTCTTACTGCACCTCCCCTTCAAACCAGGTTGTGACGCCGTCGGTCGAGCCGATGTAGAGCAGATCGTCTACATAGACGATTAGCAGGATGTAATCGGTGCCTCTCGTAAGCCAGTACATGCCCTGATCGTGCGGTAGTTGCTTGAAGCCGATGCGAATGAGGCGAGCGTGCAGGTATTGTTGCCACAGTCTCGGAGCCTTTTTGATCCCGTAGAGCGACTTCAAGAGCTGACAGACTTGGTTAGGCTCTCCGTTGGAGCCGTGCGGTAACTCGACCAAGATTTCTGCGTTGACAGGTGCGTAGAGGAATGTGTTCGCGACGTCGATTTGTCGCAACTTCTTCTTCTTCATGGCGGCGATCGCGAGGAGGATTCGCAGTGAGGTATGTCGGCTGACCGGAGCTAATGTCTCGGTGTAGTCACGTCCATGTTCTTGGTCAAAGCCACGCACAACCCAGCGTGCTTTGAATTTGTCGATGGTGCCGTCTGCTTTTGTTTTCACTCGGAAAACCCACTTTCCGGTGAGAATCTTTTTGTTCCGCGCCACACTGATAGGGACGACTTTCCAGGTGTTGCGCTCCTCTAGTGCCCTTAATTCCCTGTCCATGGCTTCGCGCCATTTTCCCTTATGCTCCCCCCCAGAGCCTGCTAACTGTGGCAGGCTCCTTAGGAATGGCCGTACCGTGGACTGCGGTGTTGAGCCCGAGTATCTGGAGTCCACTCTGTGTGTAGCCGGGGAGTGACATGTCCGCGGGATAAACAACTTCGTCTCCCGCTTCTGGATCAGGTGCGAAATCGGGTCCTACGCGTTCTGCTTCGTCGGTGTTGGCTTGTGCAGGTGTAATGTAACCGTTGTCAGCGAAATTGTAATAGGTTTCAGTGTTGATGCTTTCGCGTGGGTTTTCGTCGTCCATTGGCACGTTGACGGAGCAGTAGGGGAGAGGCCCGGCTTCTTCCGAGGCTCCTTCCACGTTCTGCTCGTCCCAGTCAGCTTCTGTGAAATTCTAGAAGGAAGAGCGTTGCACTAGCGAGAATGAGGATACAAATAGCAATTCCTATAAGGGTTATACTCGCTGTAGAGCACCCCACTACAGGCTAGAGCATAATATTCTGACACACCCCCATAGCCAGAGTGGGGTGTAATCCGCAGAGCAAGCAAAGCAGTAGAAGCTCAGGGTGGATCACAATGTCACCACACATTCTAAGCACAAGTTCAAGAAGCAATAGTTTAAAGTTCACAATTATGAGCAAAGCTAGAGGCTATCGCAGAGGGCTAGTGTGGAGGAGGAGGGACTATGAGAGGAGAGGAGGTAGTGGGCGGCAGCTGAAGCTGCTGGTACACGGCGCAACTAGAGCAACTGGCACACGGGCAACTGGAGCAACTGGCACACTGGCAACTGGAGCAACTGGCACACGGGCTACTGGAGTAACTGGCTCCGCGGCTAAAAGTAGCGGCAGACAAGCAATGGACTCACGGGCGACTGGAGCAACGGGCTCACGGGCAACTGGCGCAACGGGCTCACGGACGACTGGCGCAACGGTCTCACGCGCGACTCGAGCTGCTGGCTTCTCGGCGGCCACCCCCTTCAACCTCCCCAAACTATCCCACCCCCATTCCACACACCCCCTACTGCACCCCTAGGGTCACTCACACCCCACCCCCTAGCACCACTCCGTCAACTCCCACACACCCACCCCCCTCAGCGGCAGCTGCAGCAGTGGGAGAAAGAGGAGGAGGAGCAGGGGAGACCACACACCCGCCACCCCCCACTCGCCACCCCCAAACCCGAACACAGGGCAGGGCGGGATGGCGGGTAGAGAGGTTACCGGGGGGGGGGCGACTCGCGGCCTCCCTGGGCGTCAAAGCAGGCGGCAGAAGGGGCGACGCTTGCCCCCCTCCCCCAGGTCGCCCCTCCCGTCGCTTGTCGAGGCCGCACGCGGCCCCCTCAGGAGCCGCGACGGGCGACGGGAAAGAAGGGGGGGGGGCGGGGGGGGGGGGGGGGGGGGGGGGGTGCACGTGTCCCCGGTGCGCCGCGGCTGGCGACGAGGCATGGCCGGGGCGGGGCCGGGGCCGCAAGTGGCAGTGACGGGGCCGCTGGCGGCGACGACAGGGCCGCTGGCGGCGGTTCGGGGCCGATAGGAGCGGCGACGGGGGGCGACACGCGGGTCCCCGTCGCCCGTCGCAGCGCCGCACCGAGTGATGGGGCAGAAACCCGTCGCGCGCCTCGGGGCGCACAGCGGGAAGAAAAACTGCCGCACGCCCCGTGGCATGCGGCACAGAGAGTAGCAATAGTAGTTGCAGCGGAAGCAACGAGGTGGTGAGCCCACCCACAGGATCGATCCAAGGGGATCGACCTGCTCTGATAGCATGTGAAAACTTAGAAGGAAGAGCGGTGCACTAGCAAGAATGAGGATACAAATAGCAAACCCTAGAAGGGTTGTACTCGCTATAGAGCACCTCACTACAGGCTAGAGCATAATATTCTGACAGCTTCGTCGTCTGCCGAGGCGAAGGCTCGGGTGCCAAGATTGGAACGATCGGGGTTTCTTTCTTGCAAGTTGGTAAGGTAATACCGGAGGGTGAGGTTTTCGTAGAAAATGACATCACGTGTTGCTACTGTTTCCTTTGTCTCGACGTTGAAAATCTCCCATGCGTTGTAGTGTTTTTCAATGCCCAGGTGTATTCCCCACTGTGCGCGTTGTGAGAATTGGCCAGCTCGTGCAGATGGAGGCCGGTACTGTACCATGCAGCCGAAGACCCTTAACATTTTTGTGCTGCCCAATTTTCCTGTCCACACCAGATGCGGTGATGCGTTGTTCGCGAGCGATGATGACAAGAGCAGGTTGTGCAGCATGATGGCGTGGTCCATTACTTCGGGCCACTAGTGGTTGGGCAGGTGCATGCCACGTACCAGCTTGCGCATGGTGTTCTGGAGGGTCCTGTTCATCCTTTCTGCTCCACCCTGCTGTTGATGGGCGTAGGGAACAGAGATGAGTCGCTTGATTCCTCTCTCTGCCAAGTATTACTTGAACCTCTCTGAGGTGTATTCTCCTCCCCCGTCTGATTGAAAGCTTTTTAGTTTGACGCCCGATTCTCGTTCTGCTACTGGAAGCCGAGCGACGAAGGCTTCGAAGGCCATGTCCTTACTTCGAAGATTTAGGTGCCAGATGTGGAATAAGGAAAACAGGAATGGAATGACTAAGTCAGAGTTGGGTACAAATACAACCCTAGAAAGCGGTACCCCATATGTGCTACCCCAATATAGCCTACAAACATGCATC